AAAAAAACAATCGCTATACCAAAAACCAACACAACACTCGCTAAAACATAAAACTGTAGCTAAATGTTAAAATAAACAAAATAGCAGTACTGAAAAGTTAAAATTAGACAACTAGTAGCTAAAAGGTAAAACCAGCAAAACAGCATCTAAAATGAATAAATTGTTATTAAAATGTTAAAATCAGCTAAACAGGATCTAAAAGCTAAATCTAAARTCTGTGATAGACCAGCAAAACTAAGTTCCCAAAGTTACAATTCTTTAATTCAGTAGCTAAGTGCTAAAACCAGTAAAACAGTAGCTAAAAGCTAAATATAACAAACCAGTTACTATAGGCTATGCTGAAACCAGCACAACACTCATTAAAATGGCTAAATGCTAAAATAAGCAAACCAGCAGTACTGAAAAGTTAAAATTAGCAGTTAAAACCATCAAAACATAACCTAAAAGCAAGAATGGTCAAAATAATGTCTAAAAATTACCTATTTCCAAAACAGTAGCTAAAAGCTAAATTTAACAAACCAGTTAAGCTTAAAGCTTAAACTTAAATACTGAAATAAGCAATCCAAAAATTGACAGAATTTTCAAAATAAAACTTTTTTCCAACTCAATTGCCCAATATTAACAGTTGCTAAAAACCTAAAACCTGCAAAATATAAGCAAAAATTGATAAAGCCAAAGCAGGAAGCTAAAACCTTTAGAATAACTAAAAATATATATATCAAGACATGTTTGTGTGCCGTGATTAATTTCTAAGAATAGAAAGTTTTTAAATTCTTGAGTTATTTCCGCCTTAGTTTAAAAAAATGTAAATACCCTGTGAGGCAGCTCCATATGTTCTGATAACTCTCAGCTACTACCACGTCCAGTTTTAGCTCAATATCTGTAGAACTGACTGAGTTAGAGCCAAGTGTTGATTTGCTGTGGCGGCCATCTTGAATTGTGTTGAATCCYGAGTTTRGAAMCATCTCCGATTTTGACTTTTGTTAAAAATCCATGCATTCACAAAATGTCCCTGCCAAAGTGTAGAAGTTGGGGATGACTCTCAGCTACTACCACACCAAACTGCATCTCAGTACCTCTAACAGAGAGTAAATTCTGTGTTTGTATCTCTGCTGACATCTCTGCTGCGTTTTTGATCGCGCGCCTCGGAAAGCATCCAGGCGCCTTTGAGGTGGTTTGTTTTGGACACGGTCCTCACACTCCTCCTGAGAGTCTTGCATCAATTAGTCCTCATCACAGCCCTCAACGCAGACGCTAATGAAGGCGSTGGACTCTGAAACTAAGGGTTTATTGTTGCAACGCGGCCGTCCTAAACTCTAACAACACGCCGTCATGTTTTGTTTACAGGGTTGTCTGATATTCCCTGTCCACAGATCTGCTGGAATCTGGACGGGTTGGAGAGTTCCTGGAATCACTTCTATCCCTGAGACATGATGACAGAGTGAGTCTCTCTTTCTAACACTGCCCTCTGGAGGGAGAGTTTAGGTTCAGGATAATAAGAGCTCTTCACAATCTAATTGGACTCTTTTTTTCTTTTGGCAGGTGAAGCAAAAATCTACAACCAGAAATGTAGAAAGAGGTTATTTTGGTCCGTATCACGTTATTGAAATGATAAAAACCCTTTTGATTGGTACATGAGTTCCAAATCCAACAGGTCTTTATGAACAACTAGTGGTCAGTTCCAGCTTAAACAGATGTGCACAATTAGATTTAATGAAATATATTTTTGCTATCGTAAAAATTACTCTTGAATAAAGTATTGTTTTTAAGATCCAGTGCAAACAGGACCTTTCATCACGTGTTAACGTCTCCTAGGAGCCACTCCTCAGGACTGTCCAGTCCAATTACCTTTTACTGAAGYGCACCAGAAAATAATCCATGTGGTTACCCTTAAAAGTGTAACAGCTGATTCTAAAAAAMCCTGTTRTATCATTTATTCAAAATAATTTTCATGACTTGTACATCTGCGTCTTCTGTCCTCACTCTGTCCACTGTGTCCTCTGTCCTCACGCCTGGATGTCCTCTTTGTCTTTTTCCTGCCAGCTCTAACATCTTTCTACCAATATACCCACTGTCCCTGCTCTGTACGAAAGCAATGCTAATGCTGCTAACGCTGTTAACGCTGCTAATGTTGTCAACACTGGTGTCTGAGCTGCACTTCAAACTGTCAGACCGCAGGCACCATCCATATTGTTTTTATTTGACACAATTTGATTAGAAAATTTAAATGTCATCTTCAGCACCATTAGCAGCATCAGTGGCTGCTTCGGTCTCAGGATGATGACGTCATCGCAAGAGCTGCGCACCAACAGCAAAGGCTGCGTTCCATTCCAAAAATACTTAAACGTAAACTTGCGCATTTAGCCACAACATTTCATATTTAATTTTTACATTTAGATTTAAATTTTAATATTTAATTTCTGATTCAACATTTACATTTATTTTGGTGGGAATTTCAGCTAGGGTTTCACACTCAGAAAGTGAGCTAAATWATGAAAATAGTGACATGTTTTGACATTTTATTTTACACTTGGCACTCCATATAGCTGGTCTCATCACCACTCTTTTTTTGAAAAGTGTACCAGACACGTTCCTTTAAAAAACAAATGTGACATTATTTGTTAAAACAAAGATTTTTGCTAAAAAAATAAAATAAAATAATGTCATAATTCTGAAATCTCATAATTCAGTTTAATAGGACTCGACTACATTCTTTTAAGGTTTCTGATAGTTCGGACATGACAGAAACATTTGGTGTTCCAACCCTGATTCCTATTTGAGGAAGACAATGCATGAAACTTTATTTAAAATTATTTAACAGAGTAGAAGTGAACATTTCAAACTGCTTTTTGTAATATAAAATCATAAAATCATCAGGTTCATTAAAAACAGAAAACAAATTATGTGAGTTTATTGATTCCTGTTCAGTTTGAAGGTTCTGAAAGGATTGTCTGGGTTCAGGAGCACTGATGGGGCTTCTTGTAAAGTTTACTAAATCTGACACTGAGCATGACTCTCGTTTTACGTTCCAAAAAGTTTTAAAGCAAAAAGGAGCAGACAGCTCCGTCTTCCTATTGTGTGCAACCCTCCAGCTCTAATGTGGTGCCAACATTTTTTTTAGAGGCGGACGGATGGTCCCGGTGTCTGCTCCAAGCCAGCTCTGATTACAGACTCYTCGCCAAAATCACGACGGCTGTCAATCACGGTCTGCATTTAGACCTCTCTGGGTTTCTTTATGGAGCCCTCGGGCTCCAGTTTATCATGATAACAGTGCAGGGAGACCCAAATAACAATCAGATGCTCAGCAGATTGCGAGAAGGCCTCGGGTTCTGGAGAGGGCGGCGGTACGTGTGTTGATTTTTTTTTTTAAGGGGCAGAAATGATGAAAAACAGGGTTTTCAGTCCATAAACAAACAGTTCCCGCTCCTCATGAGAACCCTCTGCCCGTGTGATTCCACATATAAGTTTGTTCAAAGAGAAATGATCTGTTTTCTCCAACAGAGTCGCAGGCCAACGACAGCAAACAAAAAGTTATTAGAACCACTGCTGCTGTTTCAAAATCATTTTGAAATTTTAGTTTGACTGAAAGATTTATTCATAACGTGTCCGACGCGGTTATGTAAARCAGGTTCACGTTTAGCTTCCAGGCTCCTCTCTCACCTCCTAGAAGGATGTTACAGGATTACACGAACGAGTGCATCAAAAAGTCAAATTTATCAYATTTCTTAGTGTCAAAATGACTTTAATATGATTTTATGGTGTGTGGAAAATTAAATAGTTTAAGATAGCATTGACCTTTTTTGGATACAAGCGGCCGAAATGRGTTTCCTCCGCAGGGTGGCTGGGCTCTCCCTTAGAGATAGGGTGAGAAGCTC